GGTTACAGGATTTCATCATGAGCTGACATTGGTTAGAGAACCATTGGAAAACCTGGGAGTACTGGACAGGTGTTACGTCCCATTTTGGGACTCTTCACAGTACGCACCCCCCACGGGGGTTTGAACCCAGGACCTTCCGGTTACAAGGCGAGCTCGTATACCATTAAGCCACTGGGACCCGATCCAATGGTCCTTGAATTCTAACTTCTGCCAATTCACGACATAGCGCGACCGCTAGCCAATGTCTTCGGCGAGTATTTGTCCTCACACCCGACCAGCTGCACCCTACTGGTCACGACTTCCCACTGGCCAGCTAGCTCGTATACCATTAAGTCACTGGGACCCAATCCAGTGGCCAGCCCATGAATTCCAACTTCTGCGAATTCTGTGATATTGAAATAAGGTGTAGATTGTTGGGGGGAGAGTTTGTGAAGATAAATATATTGAGATGTTCAGAACAAGTGTTGTACATGCCGAGCATTGCCATCCTCGACAGGTAATATTAGATATCATAGGATCAGGTTTGAAAAGAGTTATGGGTGGTTAAACTGAAACATGGCATCAACCTATGAAGACATTGGCGGTTAGTTTGAGTCAGGTAGGGAGGTGTAGACCGCTTGGTTGGGGTCGCCGGATTGCTGAGATCCAATAGTGATTATGCCTGAAAACTTCCATTAGACCGGCATGTTTTACCGTTTTACTATTCTTTCTCCCTCACATTTCTGTATATCAGAATTCGTTCGAAACTCTTTACTCTTCCTTTTCTCTACTTCTATGGGGTATATAAAGTGTGGCAAGCTGAACGGTTGCGCGCTTACATGCAAAGTTCTACGTTGCAACTTAGCCAACTGCTCAGTCAGTTTTTTCTAAAGTCTGTGTCATGCTGAATTAGAAATATTACGAAGAGATTTTTCCTACTTCTGACAAATACAAAATTTAAGATTTTTTTATATGTTGGAATTTCGTATAATTTCAATGTAGATTTGATTGTGAACCTGCATCAGTTACAAAATCACTTGACTTTTCTGTATAAAACTCTATACTACTGAATAATGGAGATGAGTAGTTGTATGCCATTCACATTAACCAGTAGGGATTGCCACCCAGCCAGATTGAGGTGATCTAAACACCAGATGGCCGTTCCCCTAGTTTGAGGCCAAGCTCATCAGCAGTGTATGCAGTTTGACTACAGCTCAGAGAACCGAATCAGTTTGAACCACCTGATTTCTGGCTGGCTACTTGAACGAACTAGTGATGGTAACTATAAACTGTAGCGAACCATGTAAATAAACGTGGTGACACTGTTGGCGTTGTTACAGTATTGACGTATTGACTACATAAAAGAGTATTTTAAACTACGCGCATTTATTACAGGCTCATCTGATTAGTTGGTCAAGGTCATTACGTTCGTTTGGGTCGCTGTAGTTTAGAGTTACCCTGGTGATACCATGAATGAAATTCAGAATTTGCAAATTAGTTGACAATTTTCAATGTACAAAGTCTGAGAGGCGGTGAAAGGAAATTATTCACATCGCATTATGTGATCTGCTTGGTACCGTTTGACATATTTTTACCTTGCTCCATGTATTATTATCATCCGTGTTCAGCTACACTGTGCAGAAGTCGCGCATGTGAAAGTTAAGAGCTGGTTAGATTCTTAATCTATTCCACCTGACTGAAAATCAAATAGTTTATTCAATAATCACAGTTTAATATTCAAGTGCTGGTTTGCAGGGATTTGATTGGTTACAGGATTTCATCAGGAGCTGATATCAGTTAGAGAAGCAATGGAAAACCTGCATGGAGTACTAAACAGCCGTTTCGTCCTAGTCTGGAACTATTCATCTGTACGTATCCGTTGGGGCTCGAACCCAGGAGTCCCTGGTTGGAAACGGAGCTCGTAGACCATTAAGCCACTAGGGTCTGATGCAATAGCCAGCCCATGAATCCATCTTTTTCCATTTGACGACATATTGCGACCACTAGCAACCCAACCTGTGGGGGAGTACTGATGAAGAGTCCCAAACGAGGATCAAACAGCTCACCAGTACTCCGAGATTTTCCATTGGTTCTCTTATCGATGTCAGCTCATGATGAAATCCTGTAAGCAACTACTTAGTTATATAAAAAAAGTACATTAATGCAAAGTGCTTCTTTAACGTATCATTGAACATATATCCTCTTAGTTTTATGTACGAGAAAAAGCATCCTCCCACAACTCTATTCTGAAACACCTGATCCATTCTAGACATCAAGTAAATGGTCAAAACCAATTTCAGAGTGTACAGAGTACCCGGAAGTCTAGTCAAAAGAATACGAATCAAACTTGTTCAAATCACCGAAGCTATAGCAATCGACATCACTCAATTTACTTTGTTTTTCATTTTAATTTCTACTCGATTAATGAATTTGGCATTACTTAACTATTATCGAAAACTTACAGTTTTAGTGGGACACAATCTTTGGAAACATTCTTTTTGTTTCTATGAAAATGTAATCTATGCACATGCCATTGTACAGCTTTAAGAGAATAGGGTATCGTTGAGAATGGTAATTCCCCACTGAACACCGCTTATTCTAAAATAATAATAGCTTAATCCTGGACATTGTTTATATAGTTTATAGAATTTTCGGCAGAGTTTATTGTATGATGTATATTCTCTTCGTCCGGGATACTCAGATAAAATGTCTGTCTGTTTGTTTTCAACATAGAACTTTGCACAAATGTGCGGCTGTTCAAGTCGCCACACTCCATGTACCACAAAAAGCATAAGAAACGGCTACAAAGAGATGACAGAATAATCTTCAGCAAGAAAACAACCAGTCAGAAGACGTTGCTTCTTTGCTAAAAATAACGAGCAATAATGTACATAGAAATCTATAAATATCTGTTGACTTTCTCAATAAACGATCTGTTGCCTAGCCCTTGTCTTCTGTCGTTACAACTTTATTGTGAACTTATTTCAATTCTCCCTGAATGATATAACAGCATCTCTTGGAAACTCTTGCCTTGGTTGTCTGTCAACTATGATTAGTATTGATCGTTTTTTATTGACTTGTGATTTTAATTTTTTTGTCATGTGGTTTGCATTTTATTAGTTGGTAAATATGATCTATGGTAGTATATCCGTTGATCGCTAATTCATTTAAGCATCAGGCTTCAAGGAATTCCCTGGTCTCGCCTTTAGTGTTCTCAGTGTTTAAAATTTCTACATTTTCCCCACTCAAATTGATGTTCATTGCTATATTAAAAAACAAATCACATGTCATCACGTGATAAGTGTCAACCAATCAGAATCTAGAACATACAGTTAACGCCTAATATTCGAGCCTTGTGACTGGATCGATATATGTTTTTGTACTCTTGACCGCTTTCTGTCTCACTTGTTTTGGGAATACACACGTTTCCACTCTCCTACTGTGTGTGTGAGTGTTTTCTACAGTTCACTAGTTTCGATTGAGGGCATAGCCGACCATGAAATAATCAAGAAGCGTTTGTCATCGTCAGTCAGCAATCCTATTCATACTCGGCGACATCACGGCATGTTTCTGTATTTTCCAAGTCAAATTGCTGCTCACAGTTATTTACACGCATCGGTATAAAAGAATAAATGTCGTGTTTCTTTTAAAAATTCCACAGCTAATCTATATTCTTGGATGCCGAGATCGTAGAGACTCGTTCATATTTGATCAGTATAGTGCTTATCACAGAGGATACCAATTTAATTTGTAGAGATGGTATCGATCTAGTCTTTTTACATACATTTATTCCCCTTAATGAATTTGAACAAAGCGAGAACTACAGTTTTAGCAGAATAAAATGGTACCATCTTTTATTTTGTTGCCTTCTCGTCAACTGCTTACATGGCAAAGACATTATTAAATATATCTACAAAAACAATTTTAACATACTTGCACAGAGTTCATTTTAAACAAAAACCAATCGATCAATATACTCATACACTAGAAATATATACATATATGCAATATTAAACACTATTCCGAACAATAATAATCATACACAATGGAAACTTTTAGCATTTCGCATTCGGAAGAAAGAGAAGTGAAAATATCCAGTTACCGCTTCTTTCTGGACGCATAAATCGGGTTTGAGGCGCTTGATGGAAATGGCTTTAGCAAACTTAAGAAGAATTGAGCTCTTTTGCCTATTGATAATTTTGAACGACTTTTCGATGTCCACCTCATGACCCGTGTCGAGGAGATGCATGGCGATGGCACTGATTAAAGCATTTTTCCCTTGAGATATAAGCTTTTTGATATATGTTCAGAAAATCGTAGATATGCCCTTCTTTCTGTCCTTCTAATGTTACTGCTCCCACAGATACATGTAAATTTGTATATATAGTTGGAGTTAACATGAGAAGGATATCTGTCGATTTTTTTCATTACACCAAAGAGTAAGTTGTTCGATAGAGGGGGACGAGTTTAGCTGCAGGATAGGCTATGGCTAGTGATGTACTCAGCCTTCTGTTAATCATCGCTGCAATGTATTCACCTTTATAATCAAGCTGAACGTAGACTGGCTTTTTCCCCGCTATGATTTGTTTAACATTTGTGACTTCAGATCTTCCATACTTGTTGATGAACCTTTGAGGAGGATACCCATTGCTCTTCGATATCTTTTCAAGGAACTCAAACTCCTCCTCTAGTTTCTCTATAGAGCATATTTTCCTCGCTCTATAGTACAGAGTCTTGACGAGACCACGTTTAAAGCTATTTGGACAAAATCTATTGAAATGCAATTATTGTCCTTTCTATGTGGCTTTTCGATAAATTGACTTTTGAAGACTACCGTCTTCTAGGCGTTCCATGGCGATGTCGAGGAAGTGAAACTTTCCGTCACTTTCATGTTCCATTGTGAACTCAGTATTGTTGTTGAGCTGTTACCCATCTGCTTTGTTGAATAATCTTAACTTTTGTTTATCCTTCTTTGCAGATCAATTTATTGATTTGGATAAACATACATACATATAAAAATTATGCCAAGATTCAAGGCTACTCCACAACAGATTTATTTGAACGATAAACGAGAACTCTCTGAGGGTGAAGAAGAAGAAGAAGAAGACGGGGAGGACGAGGAAGAGGAAGCAGACGAAGGAGAAGAAGAAGGTGAGGAACATATAGATGACGAGGATAAAGAAGTTAATGCTGAATCGCCTGACAAGGATCAAGAGGAAGATATGCATTACAAAAATGACCTAAATGACAACCATACTACTATTAATGGTGATAATGATAATAATAACAGTAGTATAATTGATCAGAACGAGAATAATTCATGCATAGATGAGGCTGATGATGAACAACTCTCTGTCAGTGATACTAGCCCTCAGAAGAAGTTGTCTTTATCACTGATGAAAAGACCTCCTCCTCACCTTACTGATACCAACGATGATAATGATGATGATGACGACGATGATCATGAAAAAAAGCGAAGAAAGACAACCTTAGACAATTCATCAGAAACTAGAATTTCAGCCCCGGTGACTTCAGAATGCCTGAATAGTTTACAGACAGCTGCTTTTCTAGCACAAGCTGCTGCTGTTGCTACCGTCGCAACTGTTGCTGCTCTCTCCTCTGGACCTTTAATTCCAATATTTCCATCGGATACACCACCAATAGCCCCGCTTGGATTATCATTACCACCTCCACCTCAGCCTAATCCACTACAAACCGGCGGTGGCAGTAATCAAGACGTTGACGATGACGCAGAAGGCAACTATAGTCAAGGTGATGGTGAAGCTGATGATAATGAACAATTACCTTCATCGTGTAAATCACGTGAACGTGAAAAACAACAAATTAATTGTCCTGTTTGTTGTAAAACAATGTTACGTGGTTCATTACGTGAACATATGGATCGTCATGCTAATAGTGGTAAATATAAATGTAATCAATGTGAGAAAACATTTAGTCGGGCTAGTGCACGTGAAAAACATATACGTACACATACTGGTGAACGGCCTTTCAAGTGTAATTTATGCCCTAAAGCTTATCGTCAAAAAGTTCATTTAAATGAACATTTACGTTCACATACTGGTTTAAGACCATATTTATGTAAATTATGCGGTTTTTGTTCTGCTTCAAAATCTTTATTAAATCGTCATTTACGTAGTCATGGTATACAAAAAAAATTAGATCAAAATTCTAATATTTGGATGAAAATTGATGCACCAAAAGAAGAAGTATTAAATATTGCTGCTGAAGTTGGTAGAGTTCTATCACAAAAACAAAATGATAACAACATTAATCATACTACTACTAACAATCCAACAAATAGTAGTATTAGTAGTGTTGATTTAAAATCAATCTATACTCCTGTTACTCCTTCTAATATTAATATTACTACTAGTGCTACAAATGATTATTTACAACAATTAACAACATCCAATGGGACAGCTTCACTACTCATTGGTCGTAAACACTTATGTCATTTATGTCCAGCTGGTTTTCCAACTGTTCAAGCCTTAAGAAGTCATCGTATGATAACGCATAATGTTATAGCACCGCATAAATGTCCACAATGTGATGAAGCATTTACCTCAGTGAAATTAATGGAAGCACATTTAAGAAAAAATCATCCAAAGGTTAGATATTATTTATTTGTGTGTGTGTGTGTGTGCGTGTTTAATTGCTATTTTATTCCTTTGTCATTCCCTTTGTGGAATATGGGCCTTCAAGGTTGAGCTTCGAAGTTTCGACAGCAGTGGTGTGTTTGCCACATGCCCAATGTTCCCTATTTACTGGGATCGCTACATTGCTCAAGAGGCGTTAAGAAGAGAGCTTCGGTTAGGGATCGAACGGTGGGTTATGTCTGTTCTACCTCTGAACCATTGATGTACAGCACGCTAGATAATTTTTGTTATTCTTTTACGTTCCGATTGGAACATAGGGCTTCAAGTTAGAGCCCTGAAGTTTCGGTGGCAGTGGTGTTTATTTTTTTCAAGTGTTGGTTGGTAGGGATTTGATTGGTTACAGGATTTTCATCATGATCTGACATCAGTTAGAGAACCATTAGAAATCCTGGGAGTACTGGACAACTGTTTTGTCCTAGTTTGGGACTCTTCAGCAGTACGCACCCACCGGGATTCGAACCCAGGACCCTTTGGTTACAAGGCGAGCTCGTATACGTTTTACGTGATGGGGTTGCTAGCCTCATGTCCAACCTTCCCTCTTTACCAGTTTTATTGGTGGCTTAGCGAGGTAAAGGCGTGTGTCAGAGGGGGGATCGAATCATGAACCACACGCGTTATCGGCGAGCATTCTACCGCTGTGTCAATGACGCACCGCTAGATAATAATTAATTCATTCATTCGTTTTGTTCTTAGTCTCATGACATGTGTACAGAATTGGCTTATCGGTCTCAGGTTTGACCTCCGACCCATTTATTTCAGCACACATGATGGGTGTGATTCATAGTTCATTGAATGAATAAACTGTTCGAAGTAACTGAAAATTTGTGTGGTCGCATAATCTTATTGTCTGTTTCAAGCTTTATCATGGATTGATGTCAGTTAGAGAATTATTGAAAATCAACAAGGAGTATTGAACCGCTATTTTCGTCCTTCTTTAGGACTCTTCAAGAGTATGCGACCATGAATATTGCATCGTTGAGTGTAATGTAATGGACTGAAACTTCTGATAGGTGGTGGTTGTCAGTTTCTTTGAAGTTATGGAGCTATTCTGCCGATTGCCTTCAACCATCTAACAAACTGTCGCCCTCAAAAACGAATTGGTACGGCGGAAAATGGGTACACTTTGGTTTTCTTCTCTAAGTACTCTCTTGTGGTTAGGTTGTTCACAGCCTCTGCTAGGTAAGTTCTACTTACTTTCTTCACGTGGTGGGTGGGGGTGTTCCTCACAAAATAAAAATAAAAGAAGCGAATGCTAGCATCTGACGCTTCCAACCGGACTGATGAACTAACAGATCTACCTTGGGGAACTGAAAAGCCCTGATTCTAAACCAATGGGTTCCAGAATCCAAAAGTACTATGAATGGCATATAGACCTGTTTTGGTCACACACACACACACACACAATCATGCGAATGCACCTCCTGACAGTTTTCCACTGCCTTGAGGAACAGACTTCAAGTCAAAGGCCCAGGAAGATAAGATTAGCCCCTTAAGACAACCACCTGCTTCAGTGTGGGCGTCGCATAAACAATGAGATTGTTCATTCTCATTGTATGTGTTGGGTGTAGACTCGATGAACAAGGATTCAGTAATCATTCTGTTGTGTGTTGTTGCGTGCAGTGCAATTGCTGAGGTTTTTTCTAAATTACTTATCTTCTCGGGGTCAACTATTCTTACCTTAGCCACTAAATTCTTATGTTCCAACGGAGCATATGATTATGAGTAGCCATAAATTTTGCTCGAAACGTGGGCATCATTAAATATTATTGTATAACACTGACTGAGACTTTATCAAAATAAATTTTACCCATAATGGAATTCTCAAACACTGTCTAGATGCCACAGTACTACAATCCAGATTGACTAATTCTATCTCTCTGAAGACACAATGCATACATCAAAAACATCTGACTGCATGTATGCTGTCTGTCTGTATGTCCGTTTTCGACATAGAACATTGCACCGATGTGCGCCACACTCCATGTAGCACATAAAGCAACAGAAGAAATGCATAATAGAGACAGTAAACAGAGGTGTGAGACAAAGGAATAGAAGTAACGAAGAACATAGTAGTTTCATTGGAAATCATAAGTCACAAGGAGTGGATGCATCTCCGCCAGCTATTGAGAATGATTTTGAGCCATGTCACCAATTGTTTCCAACCATTGGTTTTTACCGTCCCGAGGACCTCAACCAGTCAGGAAGTCTACACCTTCCTACGTGACTTAAACTAACTGTTGTAGATTTCATTGACTGGTGAGGCCATGTTTTGGTTTGACCACCACTGGCTATCTCTTTTCCAGCCTAACCCTATGTCAGCTAACATTGCCCATTGTCGAGGAAGGTGATGACTAGGCATACGTAACACATGTCCCAATCATCTCAGTCGATGTAATTTCACAGCCTCGTCGATTGATTTCCCCTCCCACTCACCTAGGACTCGACCGATGTCTAACCTCAATATTGCTCACCTTATTATACCACCACTTCACACGGGAGATAGAGCGCAGGCACCTATGATCAAGGACAGCTAACCAACGTTTTCATGTCTTCCACTCTCAATGGCCAGGTCTCGCTCACAACCATGTATGCATATGTATATGTAGAATTATTAACAACTTATCATTCGATCTGATCCGATTTCAAAAATTTTTTTGCTTTTATCTAGATTTGTCCAATATGTTCAAAAAAGATGTCTGAACGTCGAAAATGGATGGTTGAAGAGCATATTAGAAAAGTCCATCCAGAGGCTGTTGAAACTTACTGTCCAAATAATAATAATAATAAGAAATTAAGAAAGATTAGACCAAAACCAATCAACACTACCACCACGATGACGACTTCTACTTCTACTGTTACTGCCTCGACTGCTTCTACTAGTACTGCTAATCCTACGGTTACTCCTAATCCTAGTGCTTCTATCATCACTGGTATACTTGTTGTTAATAATACTGATACAAGTCATCAACCCGTCTCTAATGTCAAAAAGGCTTCTTCTTCTAACAGTTGTCAACCAACAGAATTACAAAAATGGGAATATTTCAGACCAGATAAAGTGAATTCTTCAAGCGACGAGGATGACGACAACGATGGTGACGATACTGATGATGACATTGACGAGGAAGAAGAAGAAGAGAATGATGATGGTGATAACGGTGATGAAAATGACGAGGATGAAGAGGAAGAGGATGTCCCTGAGAGGGATCAAGAAAACCAGGAGAATAACGACGACGACGACGCCGACAACAACAGCAACACCATCAACAATAACAACAACAACCAAGTAGACGAGAAACTGACAAACAATAAACACAAGTCGAATAAATCCAAAACATCAAAGAATACTGAGTTTATCGATGAAAATACCACGACCTATTCAATAGACAATGAACAATTAGATGAAAATAGTTTACTCGAGCATATAAACGATGATGAAATCCAGGAATTCCCCTTAGGGATATGAATTCTTTTTTTTTAATTTTTAAAAGTGTAGGGATCCACTGTATAATATTAAATACTTTCTCTCACTCATAACATTCAATGATAATTTCAATGAAAAGGCAATTGTGAAATAACAAAAACAAGAGAAGAACTAAATTTTAAAAGTTGTAAAAAGTTCATGTTGTAATTTCTTTTCTCTTTTTGGATTACTTTATTCCCTTCCTGTATTGTATTCCACTAGGAACAATCTTGACCTCCAAAATTTTCAATAGGAGTGAGTGATGTTCATTTATTACGGGATGAGGTTGTTAGCCTCATGCTCAACCTCCCCTCTCTTTTCTTTTTACTCCAGCCTTACACACACACTCACACTACCAGCTTAGCCGAGGTCTAGCAGTGAGTCACACACTGGCCAGGAATCGAACTCTGGACCATTTGAGGCATGCATGATTGCTGAGTGTTCGTTCTACCGATGAATCACTGACTACTCACTCTCAATTTTACTACTACAACTTTTAGTCATTCGACATCTCTACATCACATTTACTATTCAGTGCTTTCTCAATGTGTATTTTACAAAACAAACGGAGGTGATTAATTTGGCTTTTTTTCCTTCTATTGTCACTGTAATTTCATCTTTTTGGCATAATACTCAGTCATTTCAATGTGTCCATTTCATGTATACACACATGCACACACACACACACGCATACTCACCATTTGCCGTATGTGCTTCATTTCGTCTTTCTTGTCAAAAATACATCTGTTTTTTTGTTACAAATAGAAGAGTTCACCATTGTCGTTCATTTCACCGACGGCCTCACGACCCATGGTCAGTTCTCTTCCTGTATTGTCTCCTCCCAGCTTCGCATTCATATCGCCCATCAGGATCTTTATCAAGATCACCATTTGGGACGTTGTCCATTACTGTTTGTAGTTGTCTGTAGAACGCCTCCTTCTTTTCTTGTTCTGAGACGTTTGTAGGCGCATAGCATTGAATGATTGTAACCTTCCTTCCTTTTGAGTTGAACCTGACTCTCATTATTCTGGAGGAGATTGGTTCCTACTGCATGAGGGCTTTGCCTGCTGTTGATGACATCATGATGGCCACCCCCTCGGTGTGCTCGTGGTTGTCCTCTGGGTGGCCGGAGAAGATTATTGTCTTTCCAGTTGGTACCTAAAAAATCCGTTCCATCTGCTCTCACAGATTCCCAACACTTCGATTCTATACCTTCTCATTTCAGCGGCTATCTGGGCAACCTTTCCAGTTTCGTACATTGTACGAACATTCCACGTAGCCACCCTTATTCTTGATTTCATCGAAAGAAGGCACATCGGCTGACTGGCTTTCCGAAGGCTTTCACCAGCCTGCGTCCTTTCACTTCCCCGATTCCAGCGAAAAATAAGGTTACTGTTTATATTTTTCGAATTTTTAGTATATTGGTGGATTGAAGTTTTTGTAGCGGTTCAGCTAAGTTTTGGGGGTGGAGTTGCTAGCACCACGCCCCAACCCTCCTTCTTTATCCGGGCTTGGGACCGGCTAGAAAACTAGCAAGCTAGTAGTCTAGACGAGGATTTTTACCACTACCTATGTGTTAACTCGTTTTAACACTACCATTTTCAATAATATTTCTTCAATTTTCAATTCTCGATGGATTCAAGTTCCTTCTTTGATAACTTGTCATTTCGTGGAAAATATCCAATCTAACTTGTCATTTTTCTAAATGATGCAATGGAACTGTAATGCGCTATTATCTTAATTATAATCTCTCGTACTCTCTTGAACTTCATCCATCAAAACATGTTCTGGAGAACATACACACCTGTCGTGTTGTTTGTCTTGTGGAATATAGTTTTTTTGCTTATCAGTCATGTATCTCTTTATGTGTTTCTAGTAGTGTATTTATATCCCTGTATTTAGAGTATTCAGCTGAAGAGTTCTATCGAAGTTTTGATGAAGTGACAAAATCCGGCTATCATTGATATAAGAATAAAACTTGTGCACTGTGGTAGAGTGTAATTCCATTATGGGTAAAAATCTGGCTATGTTAAAACGTTTGTTGCTTGTTTGACATTGGTACAAATGCCATCGCTTTATGCATGAGAACCACAACAGGCACCTTTTCTGTAGTGGATATCACTGAATGTTTGTTTTTGAGTAGTGTTCTATGTCGATTGTTTTTTTTCTACTGAAATACTCAGGATCTGTTGAAATGTCGTCTCCGAATATTGACGTTTTGTCTAGGTGTTTCAATTCAGAAATAGGGTGATACAATTTCCAAACTTTTATTTCTATGAAAAATGTTAACTACTTGCAATGTATGAATAGTATATTGTTTGCAAAGCAATTTGTTTAGGGGCTGTTTAGTTCAGTAAGCTCGTTGAACCTGTGTTAACTTTTATCCCTCATAATAAAGCTAATAAGGGGCGATAGATAATTTTCGAAAAAGAGACATTCGATCATAAGTAAATACTGACAATGGGAATATCATATATCCACGTATTCCATTTCATGAATTTGAATAAAGGAGAAGTAACAGTTTGTGAAGAATAAGATGGTACCATCATTTGGTTGTTTTTTGTCGGCTTCTCATCAACTGCATACAGCCTAAAACAAAAATAGGAATTAAGTATTTGTACACAGAAGCATTTTTAATTGTATTCGCAAAGGTGACATACTGCCAGTTAACAAGTGGACCTCAAAACTGATAAACAGTGGTCATTAGAAATAACACTTATATAATGCAAAAGGATTGAGCGAAGAAATATTTACTTTTCAACTAGATCGTCATCTCTGGCTCTGTTGAAGTATATATATAGTATTTTTGACAATACACAACCCCATCCAGGCATTAAAGAAAACAAAACACGCAGATCAGCGAAGAGCCTCTTTTCGGCGGCGAATTTATTTTCTTAGCTGTACAATCGCAAATATATATGTGTTATTTTGTATGCATGTGTACAGTAAGTTTGTCAAACAAAATTACAATTGGTTATGTTTATTTTAACTAAACAGGTGAATATTGGTAATTGGAGTTACGTAATACAAAATCAGTCAAGAAAATTGGGTGTTAATGAAATTAGGGTAGTAACAAAGGTGATGAGTTATCAGAAAGAAGTTATGTAATAATATGAACAGTTTGATGAATGAGTTTTACTCAGGAAGCACATAGGAACAAGGTAGATAAAACGAAATTACGTAAGAGTTCTAAATGAATACAAGAATTATAAGCAATTAAAGAACAGACAAACTTTGTTCCTATATGCATCCTGAGTAGAACTCAATTATCAAACTGTTCATATTATTACATAACTTCTTTCTGGCAACTCATCACCTGCCCTAATTTTCTTGACTTTTACTACCAATCTTCACTTGTCCAGTTAAAATAACCATAACCAATTGTATTTTTCTTTGACAAATTTTATGTACACATACATACAAAATAACACGTATATATTTGCGATTGTACAGCTAAGAAAATAAATTCGCCGAAAAGAGACACAACAATTTACCAATCAAGTGGCGATATGTTTGTTAACAATAATCAATCAATATCAACATGTCACAGGGCTTGACAATAGCCAAGATAGATAAATCAAATAATGAAAAAGGGTAGAAATGGTTACAACAAGTGGACTGCATGCATGATGCACAGTTTTTGGAAAATAAAGAGCAATTAAGGAATAGGTGAGTGCTTGAGTTGATTGCGTAACAGATTATTAAAGAAAAAGAAAAATCGATTTGGTCAATGATAATAACACGTAATTTAAGATGAAGTAGTCAGAAAAAATAATAAAACAATTTGGACAATTATAATGTTTAAAAGATTTACAGGGTGGTCGAAGTAATCCGGTTTATACATTTATATAACGATGACAAAGGCTGTATAAATTTCTTCTGAACTTATTTATTTATTTAAACGCATAAAATCTTGGTACAATATGGCACTAAGAAGGATGCGCCACACAATAATAATAAAACAACATAGATCAAAGGAAAAAAGGGAAGAGAATATATATATATATATATAAGCAGAGAACGGATAAAGAACTTCATCTGAAAGGAAAACAGTCATGCTTAACAAGTTCAAACAGTATTCGTTAACTATCATCGGGAAAGGAAGAGAGAAGGAAATTGCAACACATGTAATAGTACGCGGTACGTTTCATTGATTATTTGTTGCTTCACTCAATTCATTGTGTGAGGGCTGAGGCACTGCCCGGGCACCCAGACCGAAGCAGGTGGTTTTATTAAGGGACCACCCCCCGAGCCTTTGGCTTGGAGTCTAATCCGCAAGGTAGCGGATCAGCCTCAGGAGCTACATTCCCATGGTTGACGGTGACCCATATGGGTTCATACGCCGTTTGATCCGATTGGATACTGGAGCCCATGTACACCATGGTAACTGCTTTTAGTTTAACCGCTATCCAACAACCTTCCTGATACGGTAGGACCTGCAGGGGTGGAGTCCCAGTCTGTTTAGCATGTTGGGTCATTACGGTATTCAAGCCGGACCACCACGACAAGGTAGCAGTTATCGGCCGGGTGGATTCCTATGGTTTCAGCTGTACATAGAAGATGAACTCGTAAAGCAAAATTAGTATCAGTAGAAATGCGATAAATAATTTTAAATGCTGTATTAACATCAACTGTATACCCACTATGTACAAGGTGTGCTAAAATAGAGCTATGAATAGATCTTATTTGTCCCTTACTTAACCATGTTGGATGATGTTCGGAAATACGATGATGAAGCTGCCTAATTGTACGCCCAATTTAGCTGGATGTGAAGCTGCAGTCAAACTGGTAATACACACAGAGGAGGCAAATTTAGCTAGTTTATCCCTGTTTCTCAAAAGTGAAGTAGTGGTGTTAGAGAAGAGAAAACGTATGTCTGCTGCACTGAAAGCTCTTTTAACTGCATTCTTCAGGCGCTGTGTTACTATATCGCTGATTTTGTCACCGAGGTACTGCAGGTTTATGAACAATTATGTTTTTGGAGCTGTTGCATACAGAGAAGG